AGAGAGAGAGAGAGAGAGAGAGAGAGAGAGAGAGAGAGAGAGAGAGAGAGAGAGAGAGAGAGTGGAGCAGCGGGAATGGCGGCTGGAGCGGGGCGGGAGCGGGAGCGTTAGCGCTGCGTGATCGACGATAACAGTGGGTTTCGACATGCGGCGACGAAGAATGCCTTTGAATTTTTAATTTAACGGAGTTAAACACGATTCAACGCGATTCAACACGATTCAACGACGTTGAACACGATTGAACGCGGGCATTCAACGGCCGTTTGTCGGTGTGTGACGGTGTTCGGGTGGGTCTGTGAAGGGGGGCTTGGAGGCGGGAGGGGGGTTGGGTTGCGGGGGGGGGCGTTGGGGTGGCGAGGCGTCTTCAAATTAGAGGGGTTGAGAGGCCTCGTAGAAAGGACTCCGGGTCGACGCTTCGGAGCAGGACAGTCAACATGGGGAGGGCACAACGACGCCAGCATGAGCCCGCTCCGAAACATTAGCAGGAGACGTTCAGGGGTCGTTCTCCTGTGTATCGGTACCCTGCCGTCGGCGAGAAGGTCGACAACAAGGGGGTGATGATGTTGCGTTGCACATTTTGCAACAAAGTGTTCCAGGGGACTCAGTGCCGGGCCACAAGACACTTCGTCCAGACTAACTACTGCAAGGACGTGAGCGACGAGGCATTGTACGAGATCGCAAGACGGACTCAACAGAGGTTCGAGTCTTATCAAATGGAGAGGGTTGGCAGGTACGAAGCGAAGCGTGGACTCAATTTGCCCCGGTCCGATAGTGCAATGGGAGGAGAGGCGGGCCAGAGTCCGGTGGAGGGAGGGGGKGGGGGAGATGGTGTGCATGGTGCGCCCGACCGCCCATTGGGGGGTGGAGGCGGTGACATGGAGGAGGACGTGATCCACATCGATCGCGAGGCAATGGCCTGAGCGAGGAGGGATTCCCGGGACACGAGGACGTGCCAGAGTTCCATCCAGTCACTGGGGAGAAGATGGTGGACTGGCTGTGGCGAGCAGGCAAGGGACATGTGCCTGCAACGGAGGGTCTGAGGGAGGAGGGTCCTTCAAAGAGGAAGGAAGGAGGAGCTGATCCGGCTGCCACCCAAGCTGGAAAGAGGCTTCGCCAACAGAAGGTGACTGAGGTCTACGATGGCGAGTGGGTTGCTCTCCACAAGAAGGCCTTCCTTTAGTGACTTTATTTCGACGGGGTCTCCTTCAATGCCTTTCGCAACAAGGCACGAAAGGCATATCAACAGGTGCTTCTTGAGCAGCCTGGCAGTTCGCCGCGCGCTGTGCTCCCCATCCACAGCGAGATTGCGAGCATGCAGCGGTGGAGACCCACTGTGCGAAGTTGGCGGAGGAATTGGAGGACGTGAGGCAGCCATTATGGGTGACTGGTGCCACCATCCTCTCAGACGGGAGAAAATCACGAGACCGGAGACTAATCGTGAATTTCCTCATCGCAGGCTCGCGAGGGGTCGTCATGTACATAACGAGCAATCGAGAGGGGGAGTCGGACGATGCAGAGCACGTCCTTCGGAGATGGGTCACCATCTTCCTTGAGTTCAGGTTTGGTGGGCCACAGCGGGTCAATGTGATATGCACCGACTCCGCTTCAACCTACGTGGGGGCTGCCAAGGCAATGGTCGCGCTGACCATGCCTCTTGCACTAAGGAGGATCACTTGGCTCCCATGCTCCATCCATGTCTGCAACAAATTGTTGTCAGACATGGGGATGAGTTGCGACACGTTTGTGGACACGATCACACGTGCTCATGTGCTGGTGGTGTTTTTCAAAACCCACCAGCCCGCCCTTCATTTTTTTAGGAATCGCAGCCCCAACAAGGGGCTTGTTCTTTTCTGCAAGACGCAGTTTGCGCCGGTTTAATCCATGTTGGAGAGGCTGCTAGCTCTGCAGGACACTTTGCAGGGCATGATGCGAGGGGACGACTCGCGGGCTTTTGCTTCCATCCCGTGGTCCGCCCATGTGTGCTACATGACGCGTTGGGTGCGCCGACATATCAGATGGGATCCTTGGTGAAGGAGGGTGGCCACCATCGTCCATATCATGGAGGCCCATCATGCTGTTGCTTAGGCGGATGGATCGTGGAGGGCAGTTCATGTCGCTCATGGTCGAGTGGGCACAAGATCTTGTCCACCGTGTGAAGGACGCATGCGCTCCTTTGGGCCGGTCCTTCGCAGACCGGATCATCAGGCGTGTGTAGGCCCGCACACAGCACATGCTTGAGCCGGATCACTACCCAGGGTTCTTACTGAATCCCCGCAGGCGACATGTTTGCTACTTTTCAGGCGAGGTGGAGGGTTACCATGCTTGGCTTGTGAGGCAAGCCAAGAGGTACATTTTGACGCAGACAGGTTTCGAGTTAGACGGTGCGGATTATATCATTGCCTGTCGGCAATTTGAGGACTTCCGCATGCAGTAGGGCAGGTTTGGCGATTGGGGCGGGGCGAAGGGGCGTGCTCGTGGGCGCGCGTGTAGCGGTGATGCCGAGACGATCTAGTGCGCGTCTTGGTGGTCCCAGTACGAGGCTGGCGTGCTTGAGTTGCAGCGGTGCGCTCTTCGTGTGATGCACATGTGGTTTTGCACCTCTCCAACGAAGAGGAACTGGGTAGTCCACAAAGGCATCCGGACGAAGAAGTGCAACTAGTTGGCCTCCGAGAAGGTCGTGCAACTCGTTGAGATCACCGCAAATGTGCGGTTGACAGAGTATTGGCGGGCAGGATGCGGTTATGTGCTGCCATGGCAGCGGGACGAGGGCATGCTCGATTGCCAAGCAAGACTTGAGGAGGAGCCGGTGCGCATGGGCACACGTAAGGGGATGCCGCAGGAGGAGATTGCCCAACAGGTTGCGCTTATTATGCGCGATCCCATCAGGGCTTCCGCACCGCCCTCTGCTGATGCTGTTTTTGATAGACGTGCTTGCATTTTCCGTCCATACACCAGGGATGATGACTCGAACGAGGAGCGGGCACCCGAGGCAGCAGATGACCTTGCACTCCCTATTCCTCCTGAGATCGACGAGACGCACGAGGATCCAGACAACGTGGAGACGAGGACATACACCACACGACGGGTGGCGGACCGGGCTGAGAGGGAGATGATGGGGGGAGACGAGGATTGTTGGGGCCCTTTCGGGGAGGTGGCTTCTATAGGTGATGTGCGTGATGACAGAGTCAGGGGCTCTCATGCAGGCACAAGCCGCGCAGAGGCGGGGATGAGGACTCCTACTCCGATGAGGCAAGCGTCGTCCATTCCGCCACCCCCTGCTCCGAGTCCTGCACCACCATCGCACGTCTCGCCACTTCAGCCGGCCACTACAGCGGCAGAAATGGAGGAGTTAGCATCCTCCTTGCCTCAGCACGGACTTCAACAGAGATCTACGGTGCTTCGCCAGCTGAGGTTACAATCATCTTCCCCGGGGGTCTTGCAGGAGGAGGTTGGCCACCGTGCCACTCAGGCGGACTGGGGGGGGCCAGCCCGAGCGGAGGAGGAGGTCACGACAGCGGTAGTGGTGGAGGGGGAGGTAGCAGCAGTGGAGGAGGAGGTACTAGCAGTGGCGACGGGGGAGGAGGAGGTGCCAGTTGGAGCAGCAGTGGAGGGGGAGATAGAAGCTGCAGCGGAGGGGGAAGAGGAGGTAGCGCTAGCGGCGGTGGTGTCAGACTTTGATATGGAGCATGATGGTGAGGACGCAAATGGGGGCGGTGACGACGCCAAGGAGCACCTCATGCAGCAGTTTATCACAGAGGAGCTCGATCCAATCATGGGCGGTTTCACCCCGGGTGTGGTGAGGGGGATGGGGATGTCTCCTCCCACAGGGTGGGCGGGTTCAGAGATGGGGACCCACTTCGACTTTGACATGTCGATGGGCACTCCCCCTACTTGAGGCGGGGCGGGATCGACGGATCGGGCGCCATCGAGGGACGAGGTGGCAGGTGAGATGGGGTCGAAGACCCCGAGAGATAGGACTACAACGGAGTCTCCCGATATGGCACACGACATCATGGAGCGAGAGAGGGCTTGACTTATAGCATCCAACGACCCGCGTGCTCAGGCATTCGCACAGGCCTTGGAGGAGCGCAGACGTCGAGAGACAAGAAGAGATGGTGGGCAGGGTGGGGTGGTGGCGAGGGCGGACGTTATGGAGGGAGTGGCAACAGAGGCGGCGAATGAGGTTGTGGAGGGTGGGCCATAGCCAGTGGATGAGGCTGTGGAGGGTGGACAAGGGCGAGACGGGGGGGCAGGCGACGCCCGACCCACAGTTCACGAAACAGTGACGGGCCCAGTTGTCCCGTTCTCGGGTCTGCACTTGGTCGAGACCCGACGGTCGCAGCCATCTGAGGTGGCAGTGCATGATGTGCCACCTGTTATTATCACGGATTTGGGGTCTGAGCCGATGGTTGTGCCTCCACGTCCACGGCGACCGGCTCCGCATGAGGTCGATCATGCATTGGATGCAGAGGAGTTGGCATCGGTCGCTGTGCGCGATATGACTCGACTGGACCGACGGATATTTAACCCGAAACTCAACGATCCCCAATGGCAGACGATCCCTTCGGTTCCATGGTGTCCTGCGTCGCTGGTGTGGTCCAGGTCTACCTCCAGTGGAGGACATAGCAGGGCAGATGTTCCACGGGTTTCAGGGGGCCTTCAAGAGAGAGCGCCACGTACAGGAGACATGCCACCCCATCCTCCCAGACCACGTGTGGGTGATCCATCATCGTCGCCTACAGGCCGAGGCTCTCGATCCCCACACACGCCCCGAAGATCGAGGATTCGTGACACGACAGCGTTTGAGCGGGATGTGTGCGACACGATGTTATTCAGGAGGACGGGTATAGATTTGGATTCCACCCGCCGTGTCACTGAGCTCACTGCACGCCTTTAACCGGGTTTGGGAACCCGCGACGCTAGGACGACCGGAGCGAGGGAGGTTGCAGCAGCAGGTTGTGAGCCTCAGCGAGGTCGCGGCAGAGGAGTGTCCACCTCGACCTTGGACCATGCTTTGAGAGCAGCGACGCGTGTTGTGCATGAGCAGACTCCACGCAAGCGTGGAGTGCCTCGTCCACGCCCTGTGCCTACAGCGGGAGGCGCTGCACTTGGAGAATCTTCGGGGGCGAAGGGGTTGGGGATACCTCATGGATCCTGCCGTCGAGACACAGTTTCACAGGCTAGTACGAAGGTTGTTCTGGTGAGGAAGGGAGGCGGCCCTGTCACCATCGAGGAGGATGACCCTGAGATGGAACCGACAGTGTGAGAGGAGGACGAGGACTATGAGGGTGAGGAGGAAAGTGAGGAGGAGAGCAAAAGTGACGATAGTGGTGACGGTGACAATGACGACGATGAGCCCCCACCTCCCCCACCGACGCGTGCATTGAGATGCTCCACTGCGCAAACGTTTTCATCCGCACGAGGGAAGAGGAGGCCGACATCCAGCACTTGAGGGGGTATGAGGAGGCAGAGTGGCAAGGGGAAGAGGGGTCAGTGGCCGTGAGGCCAGCACTCCGCTTTCCCCTACTTGCGCACGACTTCACCATATTTTGCGCTCCTGATTTTTTGGTTGTGCTGTCTTATCTTAGTATTGTCAGGTAGTCACTGGTAGTGTGCTTGCTGTTGTTGATGTTGTTTTCTTCATTTTTTGTGTGTCTGAGTCTGGTATGAGTAGGGCGTCTATACAGTAGCGTTGGTCGTAGTAGAGTATCTCGCCATCGTCGACACGACTTGTATAGTATTGTTTTTCTATTATTCAGTATGTGGCAGTGTGGCACTAGTGGCGTAGTAGTAGGATACATTGTATTATGTTACATTTTTCATGTGTGATTTCAGTGACTGCTACTTCACGACTTTTCATGTCCATTATATTTTTCATGTATGATTTCAGTTACGAGTGTTGCACGTCGTGTGCACGACGTTTCATGTCCATTTTTTTCAGCGTGTGAATTTGTATCTTAAATTGGAGTTTACATTTTTAATTTCATTTTTTTTTTTTTTTTTTGCCGGCAGAGTCAGGTGATTGTTTTTTATTTGTTTCTTTGTGAATTGTTGAATTAATATATATTGATTGAAATACTAACTTTTAATGTACGGCCGTCACCCCCGTGTCCACCCGTACCCCTTCTTTGTCAAACATAGGCAAGTGTGAAGTTTCACTTGCAGGTGCAACGTGTCATTGTCAAAAACATATACCATCAACAAAGTATTCTGCGACATTTTTTCCCAGCGGAATGCGTGGACAGGTGTTGTGGGGTGATACAGTTCGGGGGGGGAGGGGGGCGGGGTGTTTGGAAGGTTGGGGGGTCGTTCCGCTCGCAAGGGCTTCATTAAAGGCTGATGGGCGGGGCCACAGGGGTTTTTTGGGGGGGGGTCGATTTTTTTTATTTTATTTTTTTGCCGATTTGAGTGTTTGGGCGCGTAGGGCCACATGTCCGAGGCCCGACGAGCCCATTCCGTTTTTCGGAATTCAACATGACACCCCGGGATTCCCCGGGGCTGTTAAACGGGTTCAACGTCGTTGAATCCCGTTCGTTCTCTGTTCATCGGACACATAGTAGCGAGGCGTGCGTGCGAGCTAATCGTGGAGATGGAAAGACACCAAAACAGTTATACGAAATACTAGTAAAGCTGCACCTAATTCCTACAAAGAATTTGAAATTGAAAAGTTTGAAAGGAAATTTCGAGCGCGCTCGCTGAGGTGTGCGAACATTCTACACTGATTCCTATTCCAACATTCATCAACAAAAAATTCACAAAACTTGCGGGGGCATTTTTCAAATTTGCACAAAAATGAAACGAACCAACACAAAATACACTGGAAAAGCATTTGCATGTCATCTTACGTCGGAATTCCGAAAGGCCATAAGAGAGATAGTGTACTAGGCCCCCAAAAAGAAAAACTAAAAGAAAGGGGCTCAGAAGTTGGTTCATGCACAAAAGATGATGCGTCACATATGTAACACTTTCAAGCTCGTTGGGGATTAGCACCATGAGTGTCTCGTTGTCTTCCATGTGACACCATCATGATCCCGATCACTAATCCCTCATTGCCACTTAGGCGAGTTCCTCCCGATCATACTCAACGTGAATGACTGGAGGCGGCAGTTGTGGTCGCTCTTGTAGGAGAGGGAGAAGGTAATCGCGCCCAGCATTCGGCAGATTAACAAAATGAACGATGCGATGACCATGCGGGAAGTGGTGATTTGGGCTGGGAAGAGCAGCAAGGTAATCAGCATACAAGGTGGGGATGGTACAAAGGGTATTATCGAGTAGAGATTCATAATCATCGACGACGGGGAAAGTTCCCGAGATGATGCAATATAGCTCCATATGATTATAGCGCATCCATGCTAAGTTGGGAGGAGGATATTAGGAGAGAAGGAGTGCAAAGGGCAGGCGGAGGTGGGATGAAGATAAATTTCACAGAGAAGGCGGGCGACATGATGCTGGTAGAGGATAGAGGTCGGGAAGACGTTATAACTGCAGGAAAGGTCAATATCGGGGAGGCGAGAATCACGAAGGTAATCAAGAGGGCGGCGGAATAGAGGATGGTAGCGAAGCGCCAGAGCAGGAAGATGGACGGGGTCGAACCGCAGAGGGGGTGGGGGAGGTGGGGGATAGCAAGCGGGATTGAGGGCGGTGGTGGCGGAACGATTTTGTGCCATTGCAACAACCGGCGGCTTTGGAGGGTAGATCGGGATTCCTTGCTGAATCCCTAAGAGCGGCTGGACACGTGGCAGATCCAGGTCAACAACTGCCCTCTGCCATCTTGCCACAGACTTGCCATCAACTTCTGCAATCAACTTCCGCACTCCCCCAAGTACAACACATACCCGTTATATAGTTGCATGCAACAGGAGAGTAGGTGTCAATCCAGGTATAATGGTTGTGTGAAGATGCTAGTAATCATCGAAAAACTGACAGACATTGCGCGTTGTCAATCACTATGTCGCACTCCACATGTCATCCTCGATTAAGTTGGGCGCATGCTAATCATCTTTCTTTCTTTCTTTCTTTCTTTTGTAATGACCCGCGATAACACAGACTGAGAACACTGCTGATTTATGAAGTTCTGCCGATGGAATGGATGCTGTGTTTTCTAAGTCTGTATGCGTGCGTGCCTGTTGACTTGCGTGCCTATCTGAGTGCTTGTCGGCATGAGTGTGTGTGTGACCAGCAAGGGTACTTGCTTGTTTGGCAGGCCCATAGGGCCGGTACTTACCTGTGGCCGTGGCATCGAGGGTTGCAGCCTGGGAAAACACTAAAGTGGCGGAGCCAGAGGCCTGCAGCCCTTGGAGTAGTGGAAAAACACTCAAGTAGCAGGTAGGTCGGTACCGCACCCAGTAGCAATAAATGTGCCGAGTACTCGAGGTCGAGCAGAAGAAGACAAAGTTGGCATTTTTAGAGGCCAAGTAGCGGTAGGCTAGGTCTACGCCGGTACCAGTCCATCCAGTTTGAGTCTAAAGCCTGTACGGGCAATATCAAAGTCTGCAATGATGTTTCCCTCCGAAAGGGAGGAGGTACCGATTGCTTGGGAGGCCGAGCAGCCTGGAAGTCACCGCCCAAGAGGCAAGCAGGCCGCTATATCAAGAGGCCGAGGCAAGAGCTCGACCTCATTCTTCAGTGTGTGAGTTGGGCATTACGCTGTTGGAGCGCTGGTTGGAAGAGCGCTGGCTGATACAACGTTGCTGGGAGGAAGAAGTCGGGAGCTTCCACCTTGGCTATGGTGGAGCTCTACCGGTAGGAGGAGGAGGGAGAAGGGGACCAAGGGGGAGAGTGGCGAGGTACTTACCT